CGTTGCAGACTTGCCGGACAACAAGATTACAGCTTAACGAAGGCTTGTTAGTGTGTGGAACTCACTTCGTAAAGATCCGGACATGTTACACAAGTACGACGAAGTATTTCAAGACCAGTTACGTCGTAACGTCCTTGAATACGTCCCAGAAGAGGAAACAGACTACAAGCATTTACATTACCTACCCCATCAGGCTGTCATAACTCCTCACAAGACGACAACAAAACTGAGGGTGGTATATGACGCGTCAGCCCATTACAGAAACTGTCTTTCGCTCAATAACGTTCTACACAGAGACCCAGTTATTTTACCCCAGCTATTTGAAGTGTTGTTGCGTTTCCGAATGGGACGAATTGCTATGATCTCGGATGTAGAGAAAGCATTTTTAAAGACCGAGAAAGACCGCGACGCAATCAGATGCCTTTGGTTTCGAGATCCCACACTACCTCCTACTCAGGATAACGTAGTAATTCTGAGATTTACAAGGGTTCTTTTTGGCTTGAATGCCTCTCCGTTTCTCCTCGCGGCAACCATCTGGATCAATACACGAACCTTGCCCGATTGACAAAGGAGATAAAGGAGAATTTGTACGTCGACAATCTGATAGTCACATTGGATACAGTGGTAGAAGCATCAAATTGCTACCGCAAAATCAAGCAAATATTCAAAGAACTCAGCATGAACATCCACGGATTCGTATGCAACAACAAACAAGTAAGCGACGGGATTACAGGGAAGGACAGATCGTCAACACGCCCCAAAGGTGTTGGGGGCTCAATGGAATTCTCTGACAGACAGCTCATACTCTCGTGCAGATTTAATACCCCCACAGTAATGACCAAAAGGACAGTCACAAGTGCAATAGCTTCCATCTACGATCCTATGGGATGGATGTTACCTCTAGTGCACAAGTCAAAAGTATTCCTCCAATCACTGTGGAAAGACAAGTTGGACTGAGACTGATGCTCGATCCAAAGAGTGGCAACAGATATGTCAGGAGATGCAAGGTTTTAGTTTGGAAGTACCCCGATTCGTGGCTAAGAAACATACAGAAGTGGATATAGCAGCATTCGCAGATGCCAGCACTGAAGCTATAGCCACATGTATGTATTTGAAAACAAAAAATGCTGTTCATCTTTTGCTAGCAAAAGGAAAACTCCCACCCTCAAGTACCAGATTACAATATCAAAATCGGAATTAAACGCTGTCACTTTAGCATTGAGAATAATCAACTCGACAGCGACTCAACTATGCTCAATCGTAGCAATCCGAAACGTTTATCTCTTCACTGACTCGAAGATCGTCTGCAAGTGGATAAAGGGGAGAACACATAGAGAAGCAGGAATAATGACAGTCAACCGACTCAAGGAGATAATCGACATTAAAGGCAGCGTACGGGCAAAACTGACCTACCTCAGATTTTGGCGCAGGTGGATAGGGGGCCCTCCATGTGATCTAAAACAGCCACTCCGCGCCGAAAATGCGAATTCTGCAAGCCAGGAGGGCAGGCCAAGCGCCGCTCCCCTTCCTCCTTTCGCTCCCCTAACACCTTGTTCGGACGAGTCGTCGTTGTCCGCTAGAAAGCGCGCGTCACTTGTCGTTTCGTAGGGCAGAACTGTTCTGGCGTCATTTCCGTTCTCATTCCCCGTGCTTTGAATTTGCATGTGTTGCGGCCATTTTTGTATGTAATCCTTTTCTTTTCAGATGGTGGGGTTGGCAAGAGCAAGGTTGTGATCTGTCGGACAATGGTTCAACTAGGACTGAATCCGAATTTGAGGATGGCGATGAACGCCGAAGAAATGTATTTATTGTTGAACATGAACAAAAGCGAGCTCTCTTCAAGATTAGTTCAGGGACTAATGCACCTCAACGGTAAGATTTGTTCAAATGAGACAGAAAGAAAGTGTTTTATATCGTTTTTTATAGATATCTCCAGTGTTAGGTTGATACGTGCTGTGATATGAAATGTGCATGATGTATGCATCTTCCATTTCTTAATATTTGAAAATATATAAACCTGATTCTTCAATGAGGAGCATTGTTTGTGTTAGCACTTGTCAGATCACCTGCTGCTCATTAGTCCGAAAGTTCTTACATAGCATTCCGCACTCTTTTCAAAGCGCCGACTTCATCAGTTTCGTTCCTCTTCCCTCTCATCCTCTTTCTCACAAAAATTTACTGTTCCATTTCAGCTTACGAAGATATGACTCTACTCAACATACACGTTTGACCACTGCACTGAAGCCTGATTCGGAATCATACAAAAAGATGCGACAAGTAGTGTAAGTAAATTTTTATCATACCCCCTTGTCATGTTTTTTGTTCCCATCGTCTTGTAATGGACGTCGTAGAATTGATAAATCAGTTTATTGTTCTATAGAAGTTGTTGGATGTTTAATTTTTAAACAAGCCACATACAAATTGTACAAGCACTTTACAATCATTGTTTTGACTCCCGTTAGCCTTATCTTGTTATTTCACCGACTTTGTTCTCCTATTTTTTTGGAATAGGCATTAGTTCAAAATTTTGTGTTTGTGACCAATTGATATTATTCACGGAATGTTGGCTAGATAGAAAGAAAAATACTTCTTACTTTCTGAAGATACATCATTCATCATAATGTGTAAAGTATTCATTTTTTTTCAGCGGTGAAGATCAATTCTTTTCGACGCAAATACTCTTAATCATGGTTTGCATTATTCAACATTGCAAGCAATGGAGAAGCTCGCTAGCGATGTGCAGGGACAGTGAGTGCCCTCAGTTTCTGAGTCTAGTACTTCACATGGTCATTGTTGCGTGTGGTTGTGTGTGTTGTGTGTGTGTGGTTGTGTGTGTGTGTTGCGTGTGTGTGTATGTGTGTGTGTGCATGTGTGTTGTGTGTGAGTGTTGGGTGTGTGTTGGGTGTGTGTTGTGTGTGTGTCTGTGTATGTGTGTGTGCATGTGTGTGTGTGTGTGTGTGTGTTGTGTGTGTTGTGTGTGGGTGTTGTGTGTGTTGTGCGTGTTGTGTTGTGTGTATGTTGTGTTGTGTATGTGTTGTGTGTTGTGTATGTGTGTTCTGTTTTTAGAGTCAAGCGACGAGAGCAATTCCATCGACGTCGTATGTTTTTGATTCAGATGCACCAATCCATTACATCAACGACAAAAACAAGCGATTCAACGAAAAGCTCGAGAAGTTTCATGGTCAGTATAGGAAGACATCAGACAAGGTAGGTATATCCACAAGTTTGAGGCTTACTTGTCCATTATAAGAGACTACTTTGTGTTTTTTCTAAATTTCTGAGGGTGAATCATCTTCATTCTCATTATAGCTCTACTTTCAAAAAAGAAAGTACGCATGTAAACGTAATTTTCTTCTTTTAGGTGGACCTCGAACGTGGAACTGCTATCTAGGGAGGAATGGCCAATTATTACTGTTCTTTCGAAATTTTATCATTTCTTAATTCTTAATCTATGTATTTTTTCGTAAATTTGAATGCCAACACTATCCTGTATGTTCGTTTTCACTGACAAAAATAAATATCCAGATAAACTACATGTAGTTCACAGTCCAACGAATGTGAAATTGCTGTAGGCAGAGGCGCTAGATTTCTTGAAAAGCTTGAACTCGTGCTAATAGGTGATTTGGTTTTGCGCATACCTTCGAATTGTTCTTTCAGGACAATATATGAGGACTTTATACATATAACCGCAGAAAAATACTTATCTTTCCTTGATACTTCACATAACTTGTACGCAATCATGCTATCGCACTCATAGGCGAGACACCTCTTAATTTATCCCGTTGAGGATTACTTCGGTGTGTATTGAGGTGTTTACCCCTTGTACCATAAATTTTAGTAGCTGCTTTTATACGAGGTTTATCTTCGTGCAGTGCAATTAGGGGGTCTGCGTAGGTTTGCCGTTTGTTATGTGTTGATGTGATGTATGTTTTCTGCTGTTTACGCGCTCTGCGTACGTTGCCTGTGCAGTCGTGGTGAGCCGCCTAAACTGCGTGTGTTGTGCTTGCTCTCGACCGCATAGCAAGATTAGAGCTGCTCTTCACAAGAGGTGAACCGTATCCCGCTCATCGCAACAGGTGTCCAACATCGCGAACACGATTGCGTAAGAACATGTTGTCACGAATCGTGCCAACAAGAGAATCTCAAATCAACCCTTCGTTGTTATGCCTAGACAATGGTTGTCAATGGAAGTGCGACCAAAATCTGTAAAACTTAGTGGTAAAATTTATGTCCGAAGAACATCTAGAAAGTACATGATTTCTTTCAACCAGGCCATATCGAATACAGTGGATTTGTTAAAACTGGAGAAAAAAATCGCTATCAAAAGTATGGTCTTAGGGTGCAGCCTAGCATTCGGTCACGGTAACCCAAAGGCTTTCTTTTGATAAAATATCTCAAAAAAAGAAGCGAAAAGAAGAAATCAGCTGTGCACTGCTAGTTATAGGCAAGCTCGTCAGATCCGTAAATTCTGCAATATAATGCAATGCAGTTAGGAATTCGTGTTGTGTGATTCTTTTTTTTTTGACTAAGAAAACTTTGCGCTAAAATTTTTTTTGAAGGATTGTGATTTGTGAGGAAACGATCAGTTGGATTGTGATTTGTGAGGAAACGATCGATCAGTCAACAAAAATCGTAGAAGTTGCCCGACAAATAAAAAAAGCTGTCCCCATGTAGCAAAAAAGTGATTTACCACTCCACATCAATGAAGTCTGGACCATAAAGGTATTTCGCTGGAAATGCCTGTCTCTGAGACTCGTCGGAAATCGGTGTCATAACTATCCCCTAAGGGCATCGGTTATCTTTCTGCTTGCTTTATCACGCTTTTTGCTCAATTTGCACTCCGTCATGTGCTAAAAATCGCGGGAATGATAAACACTTCCTTTTTTCATGTAGACGACTGTGGTGGGTATAAAGGACGAATGAATCATTGTCAGAGCAGAATGGCCAATACCGCCATTTTCACTGCATTCTACGCAGTTCAACGCAACAACAGTTATGTTATGTTTATGATAATCCCAAATTCACTGATCTCAAGAAGTTCATCATATGCCAATTTTTCGAGAAAACAACAATAGCTAAACAAGACTGAGTCCTTACAACAAAAAATGAGGGTGGTACATACCAATACATAAGCTGACAAAATCGACAGTGTATTTCAGGTTTGCGCGTAGTCCATATTCATCCCCCACCACGAATTTGAAAAATACTGTCGCAGAGTGACTATTCGCTGAAAATATATGAGTGATATCAGTATTATAAAGACAAACGAATGAAGAATTATTTGCTATTTGTTCGATATTGCCAAAATGCAGTGATTATTCTGACTTTTACCGCGAGAAAATCAAGCGGAATCACATAACGCAAGCTTTCAGTATCATCTTATCGCGATGTCCAAGTTCTATTCCTGCATTGTTTGTGGAAACAAGGTCGATAGTCGCTTGGCGACACGCACTTCTAAGAGCCAAATCCACAACGCTATATTCCTATCGGCGCTGAAGGTATACCTATCAGTCGCAGAAGAACTACTGGAAATTTACTTCTCGGAGTTCATTACCACCCAGAAGTTTCTATGTACCGCTCACTTTGTCAACGTGAGTTTTTCTGCTTGCCCTCATCCAGAAAACAACTTACAAAAATCAGGCACAACATCTGCTTGCCGATATAGTCGTGGGGGGTGGAAAACTGTCATACATAACCGAGAATGTGGCGTATCTCAACGAGAGCGAAATTCCTTCACCTATGATGGAGAGACTCAACGTTGCTATTACCTCTTTTGCAGTCAGTCCAATCTTGTTTGTGTGGAACAAAAAATTAATTACATTTGATAGAACAATATCGTGCTGAGAAGATCCGATGTGGGACGGTACATAAACTTCTACATGAAAAAATATTATTGTTCTCGCTTCAACTGTTGGAATGTTGTTGGCCAGAGTCAAGATCAAGATCAGAACCAGAATGTCCAGAATCAAGATCAGAACGAAAACAGTCAGAATCCGCCCGAAGAGGTAAAACTCTCTTCATACTTACCGATGACGTACCCAAGATTTGGGGGGGGCAAAATTTTTTTGCGATGAAGATGCGTGGCCTCAGCCACGCGCTTCGAAATTTTTTATAAGGCTAAAATGAATTGTTTGCCCCCGCTTCCCCCACCCCCCTCCTCTTTACGCCATTGATACATACTTGTAAACACAAACACATTCAGAATGTGCCTAAAGAAATACCTCCCGTTCCTGAAAATATGATGGACCAAGTCATGCACAGTCCTCCGCCTGTCAGACACGGCGACTCAGGGTCCTCGAAAGTAACGGTTAGTCTGTAAAAGGGAATAAACGAGCAAAATCAAAGCGTAATCCGATAAGGGAGCCTTCAGGACAGCTCCTATCATCCCACACCGGAAAAGCTCAGAGCAGCGCTATCGGATAGCGATGATGAAGCTCCACGGAAGGAAAGCGAACCCGGGGCATTAGACAAATTTTACCTGGTCTCCGGGCGCAAGCTACTCGAGCTTTTCTTACGTAGTCGGTGTGGCTGCCAAAACAATGCCGATGGAGTCTGGCTGGAAACTTACGGGACAGCTCCCGTAATCTATTATACCGGTCCCGGCTCAAAATCTGGAATTGAACGCTGGGAAGGCCAGGATAGGGTAGGCACGACCATACAGGAAAAGATGTTTACAGGGAACATGCTCTGCTCGGCATCTGCAATAACAACTGGCGTACGCATGAACGTAATAATGCATATCGAGCAGTGACGGACAATGAACGCAATTTTTCAGAAAATCAGGCAATGGGCAGACGAAGCCGGTATAGCTGTCCCGTCGAAATCGACTTTCTACTCGGTTTTTACTGACATGCGCCAGGATGTTTCCACCGTTTATGAGGCCCACCAAAACGCACTGATTGGATTTATAAAGTCCGAGTACGAGGTAGATATAAACAATGTAAAATCGAATATATATATATGTATCAGTGGCCGGCTTTCGGGTGCTTCTCATTCCGGGCCCATAACCCCCAAATCTAGAAAAACCCAAAAAATTTTCTTACAGAGCTTATTTGAATTATCAAAAAATTTAGAGAATTATTTCGTTTATTTACAATAATTAACAAACCACTTGCACAATTTCATAACTCATGTAATAACTTTTGAGAATTTCGGACATTCTCGGGACCCCCCCCCCCCCCTCGCCCCACTCCATCGGCCCGGCACTGATATATATATTAGGTGGGTGCAAAAGTTCGTTCGCCGGTTCTTCAAAAAATCATAACTTTCTTTCTTCTTGATGAATTTCCCCCTTTTTATAATCTTATGAAAGAGGAAACCTTTCGCTTCCTTTCGCTTTGCCATGAAATGAAATGCAAAAGTTTAAGAGTTAGAAGCAATTGAAGAAAATTACTCAAGATTGGCATTTTTTAAGCTGGGTCACGAAAAATTCTGGAAGTACTTTTGTTTGATAGAGAAAATTATGCTCTTTACTATGGTTTTTTCTCTCCCGCGAATTAAAACTCAAATGATCGAAAGTTATGAGCAAACAAAGAGAATTACTTCATTTTTGCAATTTTTGAGCATGCCCAAAATAGCCCAAAAACGTCACAAAAAGGGCGGGAAAGCCAAGAACACGCTTTTTGTCACCTTCCCTTTCTAGCTGAGCAAGTTTCGAGCTAATCGAGAGCAAATTTCTTTTTCGTGATTTTTTCGGATTTTCGGGCCTGCGTTTTTCACGAAAATCAAAATTGCACTCGATTAGCACGATTTTCATTCAGCTAGAAAGAGAAAATCACAAAACCCATATTCATGACTTTCCCGCCTTTTTTGTGACGTTTGCGGGCTATTTTGGGCATGCTCAAAAAATGCAAAACTAAAGTAATTCTCTTTATTTGCTCATAACTTTCGACCTTTTTCGTTTTAATTCGTGGGAAAGGAACCATAGTAAAAAGCATAATTTTCTCTATCAAACAATAATATTTCCAGAATTTTTCGTGACCCAGCTCAAAAAATGTCAATCTTGAGTAATTTTCTTCAATTGCTTCTAAACCTTGAACTTTCGCATATCAATTCATGACAAAGGCACAGCTCTAAAGCGAAAGGTTTCCTCTTTCAAATGAATACAAAAAGGGAGAAATTCATCAAGTAGAAAGAAAGTTATGATTTTTTGAAAAACCGGCGAACGAACTTTTGCACCCACCAAATACATGTGTATATTGTATATATGAAGATGACGAAGACTTGCCCGTGTTTAGAGCGATGGCCAGTCTACTTGGGACATCCAAGTAGACGGGTCGTTTGACTCTCGCGGACACAGTGCTGCGATTTGCAAAGTCCTGGCCATAGACCAGCGGACAAAACTAGTAGTGCATACGGAAGTATTGCACTACTCGGAAACAGGTGCAATCCTACAAATTTCAGATAATTTCTGTTCAAGTATTACTTTAGATCATAATAGTGTAAAAATGGAGAAGGAAGGTTTTAAACGCCTTTTGCGTTGGTTCCGCTCCAAAAATATCGGCATACGCTCAATCTCCACAGATCGGAGTACCACATACGGAAGCGAGATTCGAGCATTCAATTCTGAGAACGCCACCAACATCACATGGCTTCTGGATACATGGCATATCGGCCAAACGGTTGAGTGCCAAAATCCGTGCGGTAAGTCGCTGGGATTAGGTTATGAGCAGTGGTCCAAGCTAGGGATAGTAGAGGAGGTGTAGAAGGAGGGGAGGGGGGGGGGGGAAGCGAAACTTCTATATCAAGATTATGGACTGATGTAATGATTTTTCATAAAAATTCAGAGCATCTTGAAAACTTCCGATGTCGTAATGGCAATTCATTGAAAAAAATCCCTCGTACCCTCCCACTCCCCGTAAGTTGTCTCGGACCGCACACAGGCTATGAAACAGATTTTGAGACAGCCAAACGCAGGGACTCCGTTTGTTTGAAAGAGTGGATAACCCCACTCAAAGCACACTTGTACTACGCGGTACGGCAGGGAGCAAGCACCGAAAATCCCGAGTTGACAAGACAGGTATTCAATACCTGTCTTTATCACGTGGCCGACTGTCACTCATGGAATCAGGTAAAGTGCCTGCACGAAATCGCCCGGATCGCTGTAGGCTGAACGCACGCGAGCGTGCCTGCAACGGCTGCCGAGTACGAGCGCTATGATGATACATGCGCGCAAATGCCAATGTTAGCCCGCAAGAGACACGCACGCAGGTGCTCATTCCGGACGATTCCGTGCGGTCAACTATAAAACAGCAGCACAGGGAAGGACATAATTTAGGATGCAGATACGGGGCCGCTCACTAGCTGTGCTCACGAAGCACTGGAGGAAGACGGTAGAGACAAACCGGTGATACCAATTGGAAGCCCGGCGCATAACCAATTAAAATCTATAATTCTGCAACGGGAATTCCAGGATGACTTGTCCCACACAAGTCCCATGGAGGGACCAGTTGGTGTGAGTCCAAAAACTCACTGGACAGGTTGTACTGTCCTAAAGAACTAAACTTGTAAGTTTCTGCCTTAGCATGTTCAGGCACCCTAACAAACAAGATCATTTCCTTTTGAACTTTCAGGCCAATAGGTACGTATCCAACTTATGTGCAGATGTCAACGCTGCACATGAACGAATTGCGTATGGCCGAAATACGCGGAGAAAGAGGTGTAGCGCGGACTTGCACTGTAACGCGGAAATTCAGTGATAAACCGTCGATCATGACTATAAAGACACCAGTACCCCATAGGTGGAGAAACGAAATCCTCACCGAGTTCAGATGTCAAAGAGCTGGGCCATCCGGCCTTGACACGAGCTTACAGCCAGCCCAGCCAACATCGGAAGAAGCCATGGAGACTTGACAGCAACTCCACCAGAAAAATATGTGCCCCATCCGATCTACAACTTTTACTTTCTCCCAGTTCTCCAGTCAAAAAACGTGCGGTGCCCAAAACTACAAGTGGGATATCACACTGATTCATATCGGCAAAACAAGGCGCATTATTAGCATTACAAAAGCAGGTATTACGTAAAGAACCGCATGTTTTCAATATGCTGGGGAAAACAGATGGAGCTTGAATACGATGCGCACAATGGAAAAACACTTAGAGATGCCGCCGCAATCTCCTTTCACAAAAAAGCAAAGAATAGGAATTGAAAAACAAACGAGAAGAAATGAAAATAAGTTGATAAAGCAGATGTGAAGCGCACACTCACCGTCCTGGCAACAACACTAACCATTCCATAGTCGATTGGCTTCTTTCCGGTGCTCTGGTAGGGTACACTGGCATATTGATGCAGGTTTTGATCACGATTTGGTCTCCAGTAGTTGGTTTCCCTATAAGTATATAAGTATAGATAGTGTAAGTATATATATACATATATAAGTAAGTATATACATGTTCTTTGTTAGATCTATGTCAATGTAAATGATGTTTGTATGATGTACTTTGTACTTCTCAAATGTAAAAGCAATCTAAAAAAAATTTCACTCACCACTCGTCTATAAACAACTTTGATGGAGCAACGAATACATAGAAAATACAAATTCTGCTGTGACGGTGATTCAGCTGCAGCATTTGAATCATGTAGGAATTGAGAGCACACGAGCGCATCGTTTCGGCACTGATCAAATAACCTGAGAAAATGATGATGCATGGCGCGAAAAAGGTAAGTGAAGAAAAACACACGGCCGAAAAAACACACCTCGACTTAGTCATTTCTTCTCTGACAACTTCATTGCGCTGACAGCAGGGTAAACAACCGATCCAGCCTGAAAAACGACTATCTAGAAAAAGGAGAGAAAAATCGTAACACAATAACGTGACATAGAATCGCGCAACATCCAAAAGCGGATCAAACACGAAGGCGATGAATATGGCAAAGGAAACAACATTAGGAGATCTAAAACCTAACAGTACTATTCTCGAAACTATCACGTCGTGTATTTCGAAATGAGAAATGCAAATAAGGCACTTGCATCAATAACGCGCGCACAACGACATTCCAGATGACAAGACGACACTCTGCGTCTCTGCCACTCTGCCACTCTGCCACTCAGGCACTCGTCCAGCCTAAAAGGTTGGAAGGTTCAAAAAAAGGCAGTTTTTGAAGGATTCATAAGTTTTAAAGTTGCTTTTCGGTTTCTACAGCACGGTTTAGCCCAGAAAACGTCAAAACCTTGGCAGCGAGATTTTGGCCGGACGCTGCCTTTAACGACCATTTGGCAAGTAAAGGTATAGAACTACATTATGGCCATGTTCCTACTGATCAGAATCCGGCGGACTGTGGAACAAGAGGACTGATTAAAGAACAACTGAAGGAACATTACTGGTGGAGCGGACCACCATTCTTAAATGGCTTGCCAGAAGACTGGGTCGCAGATCACAAGTTATTTAAGATCAACAAGCAAGATGCCGAAAGTAGTCCTGACCATGTAATCATAAGCCAAGCTGAAACAAGAGCCGCAGAAGGAAGGAAAAATGAAGATATCCTTGAGCACCTGAGAGGCCGTCCATATATCTTGGTCAAAAAAATCACAGCTAAAGCTTTGCAATTTTTAAGGATAATATTACAGAGAAGGATTAGACTTGGAAGTGATCTTCGATTTTCTCCATTGCTCAACGAGTACACTGCACACCCCTGCGAAGATCTCCACGGCGAAGAAATCACGATAACGGAGAAGATCATTTTACGAGTCCACCAACGCACATTTTGCACTCCTGCAGTGTTGAAATCAGTACCTCAGCTAAACATAAAACAAGATGAGGAAGGCCTCTTGAGATGCTATGGACGAATGGGGAGAAGCTGCTTGGATGATATGGCAAACCCCTTACGTCATTCTGCAAAACACCTGGCTCTCTGACGCAATCATTCGGGAAAACATTACCAGGGACATCCTGGCATAGAGCACACAATCGCGCTTGTTCGACAGAAGTTCTGGATAGCTAAGTTACGTGCACAAGTAACTCGCCTCATCCGACGTTGTGTGGAATGCCAACGTTATAACAACCGTCCATACAGGTATCCGAATCAGACCGATCTGCCACAAGTGAGGGTGCAACAATCGAGCCCCTTCCAACATGTTGGACTGGATTACTTTGGTCCTCTAACTGTGAAGGTCCAGGAGGACAACATAGGCAAATGCTATGGGGCTATCATTACCTGCATGGTAACCAGACTCATTCATTTGGATGTAGCGTCCGACCTTTCCACTTCAGCATTCCTTAATATGTTGCGAAGATTCTTCGGAAGAAGAGGAGTTCCAAGAAGCATTACAAGTGACAACGCTTCTACGTTTCTTCTAGGAGAAGAAATCTTGGCAGACTGTATCAAAAACCTGCAAAACGATGCTACAATTTCAAGAGAATCAAGCAATCGCGAAATAGAATGGAAGCACATTACACCTTTAGCACCGTGGCAAGGAGGATTTTACGAAAGACTTGTAAAGACAGTCAAGCTATCCCTCTACAAAACGCTGAAGAACGCGACTCCTACATTTGGAGAAATGTCAGTTACGCTTGTTGAGATTGAATCTCTACTCAACACAAGGCCACTGGTCTACATGAGTTCAGACTCGTGCAACGAAACGATTATAAGTCCCATCGATTTCGTACAAAATAAGATCATACTGGATTACCCATTTGACTGGGTCAATCCACAAGACGAAGATCCACTTTACCTTTCATCGGAAGAGCAAGTTGTCCTTCGCACAAAGCACCAAGCAATCCAAGCGCTAGAAAGTTCTTGCAAGTCCACAAGCAAGTTTTGGAATCTCTGGAGAACACAGTATCTTACAGCGCTTCGAGAGAAACACAAATTACAAGATGGTCATAATAATTCCGCTTCGCACCCAGAAGAACGCAGAAGGACGACTGCGTTTTAATCACAGACCCCGTACAGCCACGACATTCCTGGAGGATGGGACGCATCATAGAGTTATCAAAGGGCAGAGATGGACAGGAAAGAGAAGCAGTTGTGATCTTACCATCTAGAAAACAGATACGCAGACCAGTAAACCTTCTGGTACCACTAGAGTTAGAAGACAGAACCAGGACGGAGACCGAACAAGAGAGTCCATCCCCTCAAGAGAACCATAAACGGTACCAAATGAGGCCACGAAAACCGATAAATTACGGGGGAAAGAAACAAGACTGTGTTTCAAATCCAGTTATGCTTGCGCAAAAATTCGCGAACCTTTATGCCATACTGGAAACCTTCCACTTGTAAACACCACAGTACAAACCAGACATCAAATTCAATCACAAAAGAAAGTAACAAAGACATATTTGGTGTAAATCTCGACGTTACAAGTGAAAGAAACATAAAACTTGAGAAGCCCACTTTCAGAATGATGTTCGAATCGCTCAACAAGGAAGTGCAATACCTCGCCATCATTATGAAGTGCAACACCAAGACTTCGTCAGAAGAACAACTGATGCTTGCAAAAGAAGGAATGATCCGACAAGTGGAAGCAGCCGAGGCGCTGAAGAATTATTACACACACCTCAAAGAGGATTTCTAAATTTCACAAGGAGACCCACGAGAAATAATGATAGTAACAAGTCGCCTTCACTCGACCGCTAACAGCGTCAAAGATCGCTTTGTCATGTACTGTACTCGGTACTCGTTGTTATACAAGTATTATGACCTACACTTCGTTCACGAAGTAACTACTACGGGCCCACAAGAGTTCAATGATGCGTACGTAAAGGAGATCGACCAGCATCTGAAAGAAATACAGGGTGTCCCAAAAAAATGTTAACACTATTTGACCGTTAATAACTCCCTTGCTTTCAAGTCTTTCGCCGAGCTTTAGGTACCAGTCTGTAGAGCGAGGATAAAGTTAGATTTGAGCGTATCGAGCGAATCATCTAACGCTCCTCGTTACTGTAGAATTACGGTAGGAAATTCCAGCATGTGGAACCGTCATGAAATATGCCCTCTGACAAAATTTTTTTCAAAAAATCTGAAAAACCGTGTACTAGGGTTTTCGCGCACGCTGATTTTACTACACAACTTTTTGCGAGTGTTTTCAGCTTTTTTGACGGTGTAATCACATTTTTGACACATGCTGGGAAGTCAGTTATTATGCTTACCTAGGATAACTTTGAAAAGAAGTATCACAATGAAATGACAATTTCATATCCGAAATCAGCGGCTTTCATTACCATAGTACAAGAGATTTTGGCTTGTTTGGCTCTGTTTCAAAGCAGAAAATAAGCTTCAATAGTCTAAAATCTTTGTCAAATTTCCTACGTAATTCTACAGTAACGAGGAAGGTTAGATGATTTGCTCGATACTGTAAATCTAAGTTTATCCTCGCTCTACAAAATGGTACCTGAAGCTCGGCGAAAGACTTGAAAGCAAGGGGAGTTATTAACGATCAAACAGTGTTAACATTTTTTTTGGGACCCCCTGTAGAAGAACTGATTCGAAAATTGGAGAAGAAAAGATGTAGGACCGAAGAAAGCTTGCGGAAAGAAAGAAGCCGTAACAGCGACGCCAAAAAAAGAATAATCAGGAGTCTGGAGGGTCGAATCAAAAGGCAGGATGAAGAACTGTTCAGAATGAAAGTCTCAGTAAAGAGAAAGACAAACACACAAGATGAGCTGATTCAGACTGAATACAACGTGACAAGTGTCGAGACGCAGACAGAAGGACAAGCTCCACGGAATGATCTCCTTGATGAAATGGAATAACAGAAATGACGCACGGAAGTGATGAAAGAGAAGACCACAGTGTTGGACTAGAGCAGCTGGTAGTTATCGACGAGGACCCCACCTATCCCATTGACGAACCAATGGATGACGAGCGATATTTTCAAAAGCTGTTAGAGGAAGACGAACAACAGATAGAAATGGAGAAAGCACAAGTAAGAAGGAAAGTAGAGGAGAAAGAAGAAGAGTATAGGGAGCTCGTCGAAGACATACAAGAAATGGAACGCATCCTACAAGGATATCCACGCCGTCACTTTGGAGAGGCTCCACAAGGGACGCACGTACAAATCAACTGTGCGTTCTGCAGGGCAGTAGACGCACATTACTCAGACTCTTGCCCCAGAGTCACAAAAGGAGACGCCAGGTACGAGTTAGTAAAGAGGGATGGCCTGTGCGTTTATTGCTTAGATTCCTGCCCGGAAGGCCGATGTCGCTTCAACTACCGCCCGTGTTTCTATTGCAACAGAATCGAAGGCACAATCGTAGACAGGCTAATGCCATGCGACAACGGACATCACAAGGCATTATGTACAGTGCCGGATGAGCGCGACACGTGAGGAGGTGGATCAGTGATTTGCGCGAACGCCACAGTCGCGCACGCTGGGAACTGATGAAAATGAAGACGAGTAACTAGCAGAAGGAAATGGAAATCCCGGGAAGTGTCGCCGACACGACTATAGAATCTGTAGTTTGCTCGTTTGTTTATTGTTTGTTTGTATTGATAAATGATGGCGTTATTTCACAAGTACATGGTACAAAGTGAGGCCACGAAAACAATCAAGTACAGCAAAATAAGCAATTAGGAGGAGGAAGCTTGGCGTGGCGGGAGTGTCGCCAAAGTCGACTATAAGAAGTTTTAGGAGTATTACCAATGTCGATGCTGTAGATTGTACATACTGCATTGTTAATGTTCATTGTTAATTAGTTTTGCTTTGTATTGTAGTGATTAGAAGAATGCCCCAAGAAATCAACCTCACTCCACCACCTTATCACTATTTCTTCAGTCAACAATGACTTTGCCAGTAAACAAATCTAAAAGATATAAATACCGATGGATGAGTGAGGTCGGGGATTCTTCCACAAGTCTGCTCACCGGTCGGGAGTTCACAAGTATTTGAAGAAACAACCTTGAGTGTTGATAGCCTTTTGAATAAAGTTTAGTTCCCTCTGAGACCCGCGTGGCACGACAAACAAAGGAAATATTTCCTACACTGAGGGAGAACAGGCGGAATCTCCTGTGCAACAAATCCCCTTTGATAATTATACTTGGACTCTTTTGATCCAAATTCCACTTCAACTTGTATCATGGCATTATCATGTTGTACTGTGCTGCTGCTTGAAGCTGATGATGCGACCAGTTCTTATTCAATTAATCTATCAAGAGATTCTTTATGTTACATTCCGGCTCGTGGTTATGTAATTATCTTCAGGCAAGTGAGTGATGAGATAAACAACACCGGGAATTGTGCACGTTCCTTTTTTGTTTAGAGATGCGAACAGCACAAATCAAAGTCAAACAGATACAGTCGTAGGCGGCTGGTTGCAAAACAGACACCGTTTCAAACTTGCAAATTGTATATCTACTACTCTGATGGAAACTTTAGGCCATCTTGTATAGCACAACGACGCACTGCATTCATCGCAAAACAAATGGAAAACACAATGCTGTGTCGCTCTCGCTTAGTTCACATATATAGCGCTTGCGTTTCTTCTACCTTGATTTCAATTTGAAAGTGCATTTATGAGAAAAACCGAAACTAGAGCTCGAAGTACCCGAATAGCCTTTTGCTAGTCTGCCTTATAAGAAAAGTTGCGATTGACACCATTAGAACATCCTCAATTACCGGACACAAGGGCCTGTAAGCCTAGTAAACCTCCCCCCCCCCCCCACGAGTCGTAACGACTCGCTCGGAGCGCGTCAAAGCCCGGCAAATGCTTTTTGCTGCCGCCCTATGATAAGGGATGGGCGACATGACTAAGGCATATGCCCGGCGTAACGTCGCGGCAACGCCGCCGGCACCATAAGGAGGCACCAGCGTGCCCGTCATGCAGACAGTCGGGAAATAGTGGGACTTGATTGGAGGCGCAAAGAGGTCGTGGTGCCGACATATGACTAGCGGTCAAGTACGTCCGGGGTGGTGGGGCCGCCCGCTACCGTAGGTGCACGCAAAGTATCAAAATGCACGTCAATACAATCAATGTGAACAGCTGATAGCGCACAGTCGCGAGGCAACAGCTTCTTATTCTATTTCCTGTCATTATTCGCTGTTTTTTGCTTCGGAACCTAGACACGGTAAGTTAGTTTTGATCAGCATGCATCTTCAGGTCCTCCTCAGCCAAATTTGCTTTGCCTGAACTTTTGCCTGTTTTTGTTTGCTTTTCACTAGCTGTGAACCAGTTGCTTTTCTTTCATTTGTGTAAGGAAACGATTTGATGCCGTGGCTAATGAAGTAGCATTAATTAATACAGATCGAACTAGTAAAAGTCTTATAATTTTGTATATTTTTCAAAGTTATTTTGTATGCACGCCATTTTACGTGCAAAGGCTGAGTTCTTATGATTACTAAAAAAAAACTTGGCCATGTGTTTTTTCATATTGCTTTGCTAAAGAGTTGCCGTACTTGTGACCTGTGCTCCAGACGTCCAGCTCAGCAGCGCGGGATGCAGGCACTGCGCTATCCACAGTTGTATCAGTTGCAAATATTCGAAACCTGGTGTTAATTGCAAAGTTATAGCTGTATTTATAATCGCAGGCGAGAATCGGCTTTAGTGGGGCTGCTTACTAGTTTCAACTGTTAGTTTGAGGGCCTATCTATCTATCTATCTATCTATCTATCTTATGCACCTTTCTCTTGCTCAGTCTCTAACAGAAACATTGTCTGCGCAGTGGCTGCGCGCGACCTCACTGCGGTCATCGCGAGTTCGAAGACGGGTGATCGCGGAGCTTTTTGCAACGGGCGGTCAACGCCCGTCGTTCCCAGGTTGTGACTCGTTTTGAGTGGTCATGACCGCGTCTTCTTTGAGTTGTGACGACTTTGAGGGGGGGGAATACTACTCCAAGGTGTAAACGCAAAAAGGCTTCAAAAAATGCGAAGTTGAAAGTTCTAGTTTCCCTAATTTCACGCTATAGGACGCGGGGGATTTTTATTCTAAAATCAAACAGCACAGACAACCGAAGGACTTCGCTACGACCCAAAACTATTTACTTTGCTGATATTGCCTAAGTCTATCGTGCAGCATAAGTCTCGTTTTCCGAAACATAACGAGGCGGCGAGCGGCACGTTTGAAAACCGAAAAGGTGCGCCTTATAGCGTGAAATTAGGGTATCTTAAGTTCACACTATAGGACGCAGGGGATTTTTTTTCTAATATCAAACAGCACAGACACACCGAAGGATTCGTGACCCAATAACTATACACAGTGCTACATATTGCCTAAGTCTATCTTGCAGCACGAGTCTCGTTTTCCGAAACACAACGAGGCGGATGAGCTGCACGCTTGAAAAACCGAAAAAGATGCGTCTAAAGCGTGAAATCAGGGTAAATTTTAAAGGCCCAATTCATAGATGGCCCTCCAATTTCGAGAAGAGGATGAAAGTCTCAAAAAAACGACCCTCTTTTGGCAAATCAGCAAAGTTACATTCCGTTGCCTTTTTTGGCTCGATGAAGAAGAGCCCTTAAACTTGGGAAACCTAGCAATTGCTGCGAAAATGTGTAACATGAATCAAGCAAAAAACAGACCTGTAGAATGGTGGATGGCTTTTTTTTATGCGAATTAAGCTTTGTGATTGTTTAAGCGGTCTTCTGCAAAATTTGCCGAAAAAAGAATACGATTTTCTACAAGTCGAACATGATTTCTAGAATCACGGAGTAATGCTGGCAAATGTAAGGAGCCACTTCAACATACCCTTATCTGTTAAAGGATTTGTAATCTCTACTCAAAAAAACAAGTGAGATCTAGACAGTTTTACGGTGGATCAATATAACCCTGTTCAATGCTCACGTAAGTGGGCGGTCTGCTAGACTTGCGAAATATCCCAAGAAAAGAAAGTTTTTATAGCAACATTACCACAGAGCGTAAAAATCATAAAACTAATTAAAAGTTTTGTTTGCCCATCTCATTCTAGTGAGTTCAAGAAGTTTCTTCCTCAACACGTGTACACATTCCTGTACATCAAATCAGTTTCTACTTTCATAACATGGGAAGCCTTAACATCGCTAGAAACTATCAGCCACAGTAGGAATGCATAGAATATGCGTTATCAAACGCCACGCCATATATGTGTTTTGAAAATTGATTCTAAGATTCTACAGGCAGTTTGTGTAGTAAATACTCTCACTATTAAAAAAAACGACAAAAAGATTTTAGACGAATGAACATAGCCTCATTTTCACATTTCTCCAAAACTTCCTGAGGTTTTATTGAGTCTTATCAAGCTTGCATCTTCAGAGAAATCAGAAAAAGGGCAATGACATGGGGAAACTTGAAAATAGCTCATGTGAAAACATATGAGTTTTCACGACCCTTTCATCAGTCCGCTTACGTGTAGGCTTTACGCGATACCTCAGCGCCAGATGGTCAGTTGTGTGAATTGCTTAGACCAATGCAGCCGAATCAGCGCATATGTTTGCCGTTGCTTTTGATGAGCAAAGTTGGCTGGCACATCCTCCAATGTTATCAATCAAGCGCCGTTTAAGTGGTCTATCGCAAACCAACAGAAGAGGCAAGAAGAAGGAAAAAGAAAATGTTGAGTTGGCAAACTGCGTACCACTAAGACAGCATAAATAATTAAGAAATTAAATAAGAAGCAAACGGTATTCTATTTAGATTGCGTATCGGTTTGATGATAATGTATTCTTAAGTAATGTATTCTTCGATAGCTTGTTAAGTACATGTATGTACATGTATCGACTCGAATGCATATATTTATGCAAGAAGATCGAATATTGTCAAAGTATGTACTGTCAGGAACCTTTACACATGTCGAAGGACATGAGATTATGTAGAAGCTTGAAAAAGGTATTCTGGATATCTGTCCTAGAAGCCAAATCCTGGGTAACCGCCGTAAGGACCGCCGAAATAAGCGCCTTGAAATCCTCCATATCCTCCGGATCCGTAACCACCGTATCCGCCATATCCGCCGTATCCAAAACCTCCGCCTCCCATGCAAGCTAAAATACAACCACTCAAATGTGTGAAATTTTCTGAATTGGCGAACTCTAGCATGTCTCACAATATCACTAACGCATACGATTTTGGGATAAAAAGCGATCTTTCATAAATTTTCGTTGTATACATAGTTTGATTTCTTTCAACTCTTTTCGAACAATGAACGAAACAGCTCCAGAGAGAAACAAAGACGATAATCATTAGAATGATCTGCACTCTTCTTTGGCTAATTATTTGAAAGTATTCTTATCGCATTTTGAGTGTGTGATAAAAGTAGATAACAGAAATAAATATAACCTCCAATGTTGGTTGTATAGTATATGTTAATCGGATGCAACGTGCATATGTTATGATCTCAAGAAATCATAAGTTTGGTTGTAATTCGAACCTATAACAAGCGCTGAGAATTGTTTTGTTTACTCTTGCGTAAAGAAATAAGATAACAAATTTTACTGCTGCTTATCCATTCACTCTTACACAGCAATTTTCGATATCAATCTGGACATGATATGATAAACTGCATTTTTTTGGAATTGCTTCCTTTAATTTTCATAACTAGATACTAATATGCCTGTTTTCCCACCACCTGTTTTGGAAGTCTGCATACCTTATGTAAGTCTAAAACGAGACTAAACCAATTTGTGTTTCTCAAGCCTTAGAAACATTCCAGGATTTCGAATTTCGAAATAGCCACCCGTTTGCATCTAAATTCGAAACGCTTGCCGCAGCCTCATGGCTGTCTTGACGACGCCAATGAAGCCAATGAAATGGAAGTGACGGGCTGGCCGATTATTAAAACGCTTTGTGGTTTAGCGCATATTGAGGGTGGAATTGGGGATACAGTGTACTTGGAGGGTCTACCTGCATGGAACTACCAAAATCCGACGAAAGTGTATAGGTCTATTGCTTGCGCAATCAGTTCAAAATAACAGTCGCGGGCTTTTGTACTTGCGCGAAAATAAGCGAATCGGTTTCACCGCATTCGAACAGTCGTTGGTTAAAATATCCACTTTTAAGGCACAAAAATCCACAAGCTATATTTCGTCCAAACACTCCAAACACTGTCTTTAGCCAGGGAATGCACTTTGGTTGAAGTGGCCATATTGGAAGTGATGCATACAATTAAACAACTCTTCAAACGCTGTTCTCAAGACTGCTTTCGCTTCTGCGGAGCATTTCTGCAAAAGTAGTTATGTACCTTTGTTTTTCCCAAAAATAGCCTTCTCTTTATCAAGGCGAGGCAAGGTATTTCCTTGTGATGGCATATGTAGCGGTGATGGCTGCGACTTTCAGATGAGTGAACAGGGTTCGAGTCCTGTTGTCGCTCAGCCTTTTGCATTTTTTAAAATTATTGCTTGCCTCTGAAAATGGCTCATATGGGCAGTTTATCGTAATGTTGCTACAAGTGATCAATTGTTGAATGTGGCCAACTGTGGAACACTTTTCTAGCTAAAGATAAGAAGCTGTCCTAGAAATGTTCAAAAAAGCATAAACTTTCAGCCAATCTTTTGCCGTTTTTATAAGTGTTAAGAACGAGCACGCTTTGTATTACCAACGCACAAAAACTAAGAATACTTTGAATAAAGCCGTCCCTATGCAGCATTGCAATAATTGATTTTAGAAAAATGCAAATTGGCTGAGCGATAACAGGACTCGAATCCTGTTAACTCACCTGAAATTCGCAGCCATCACCGCTACATACGCCGCCACAAGGAAATGCCTTTGCAGCGCCTTAATGAAGGGAAAGCCGTTTTTGGGGAAAGCAAAGGCTCATGACGCTTTTTACAGAAACGCCTCGCAGACAGCGGAAGCAGTTTTGAGATCAGCGTGAGCTGTCTACCCATATGCATCACATCCCATATGGCCACTTCGACCAAGGTGCTTTCCCTGGTAAGATTATACACAGGGAGACACGAGTAAGCTGTTCTGACCTAATATTTGAACAGGTGACTGCAAGAGCTTAAGGCATATTGCGTTCAAATCACATCACTTAGTTCGTAACGTAATGTCTGTCAGTACGCAGTCGGTCAACTTCTTCAGATGCATGTTACTGGTTTTTCAACTGTTTTGGTCCGACAAACATTCACCGAAGTTTGTTTTTACGGTTTCATTTAGCTGTAATCTCCCTCCTCTTATAGTATTTATTTACAGCGCGAACAAAGCCTTGTGTTAACTACTGGTGGCAGCTGCAACCGCTAAAGAGCTGCATATGCTTCGGCAAAATGACGAGTTCTTAGCGAGACGGAGCTGCCTATGGGAAGGGATAAGCCAAAGTTTCAAGTAGGTTGGTCAACAGGATTTGACGATTACGTGCATGTTGTGTACAAATCCAGCTATGGAAATCAACATCAGTTTGACGGTGCATGGAATACACTTTGGAATTAATTAGAGTACTTGGTAGCTTGCAAAAATTGAATTTTTGTAAGCTATGTATGTGTCTTGATAAATTAAAATGAAAAATGACTTACAGCATCTTTTGCTACGTATCAACGGCATATCCTCTGCAGCTATGAGGACTGTGGAAACGAGAAGCAGCAGTATTGCGTAAAGAGACATGTTGTGTTCAAGAATGGTGATTTGAAAATAATATGTTAGACTTGTCTAAATTTATACAGAATAATATGTATAAACAGATCTAGTTTCTCATTCTAAAGAGTCATGTGTAACAGTGTATATTTGTGAAAAAAAAACTGTATAGTATTTGGTTTCTTTAGAACGTGGAAACATTTTAAAGTGTGTTTGAAGGTCATGCTCGTGGCTTTGAGTTCTTCAAGGATTCGCAGAGTAAAAGTGCTTGCCTACTTTACTTTGAAGTATGTCATCGACAAATCGTCTACCCCGCCCATCTTGAAATAACTGTACTTTATCGATGTACTTTCAAAGCCGGACAGCAAAGTCCATAAAAATGAGTCATAAGATCATTTGAACAAATATGCAGAAAAGTTTGACTTCTGGCTTGAAGTTAGTTCATGCGGGCACCTTTCTATACTTCAAAGGTTTGACGTGAATGGATTTAATTTTTTGAGACTTTTGTGCATTTGCGTAGGGTTGATTTTTGCAAGAAACTACAGAGATTTTTGTTAGAATGATCTCTGATTGTTGACAATCACTATAACTTCAGGGGAAAGTAATTGTCGATAAGCTTTATAAATTAAGTTGGTCAGAAAGTTTTGGGAGAGTTTCAAGCAAAATGTTCTTGGCTGTACGTACTACGAAGAAATGCGGACAAGACATGTTTAGTAGAGAGGAGAAATGAAATGACAATTCAAGCAATTATAATACAATTACACGATGAAATATTGGAGTCCGCAAGTGTAAATTTTTCACCTACAGAGCTCCTATGGACAGATTCAGGAGTCCACTTACAATGAATATAGTAAGCATATGATAAATCTTCCATACATACTGACATGACTTCACGACATGATGAAAAATAGATAAATTTTGTTTACATGCAACTACTTTCAAAAAATATTGATTTGAGCATGCAAATGTCACAAAACTTTTTCAGCATCGATCATTCGGTCGTCTTTTCAAACGTTGCACTGAAGAAAATTACGATTTTTGAATTGCAAAGCTTGTGGACATCAAGGCTTTGATGGTCAATTTTTGAAGACTCCTTTAAGTCTCATTAAATTTGCATGCCAGGATCATCTAAAGTCATAAAAATCAAATATGGCGTCTATCTCTATTTAGTTTCGCTAGAACATAATGAATGCATTATCGGATCGGACTCACCAATGGAGGGGGTAATCAGAAGCGTAAAAGCTAGAAGAAGCAAAAACTTTGTCATAATGACGTTTGTAATCTGAAAGGATCCTCTAAATTTTGTTATCCGAAACTTTACTCGAGTAGTCCGCGACTTGCTTTTGACTGAGCAAGCCGTTGTTTCCGAGACTTTAGAACAAAAATTTTTGCTATACGCTACGAACCACTTAGAAGAAAAGGGAATGCAGGAACATTGGAAGCGAAGAGCCATTTGTAAAGCATCTATTACCGTTTTACACCTTTGCATCCCATATGAATATACATACAAGCTGCAGTTGCTAGATACAAGCTTTTCAGCCTTTGTTCATGCAATCTGTGATCTCATCATTTGATTTTTAACTTTCTGCAATTGATCAACTGATTCTGGTTAAAACACTTCTTACTGTGCAATTTGTTTCGTTTACATTATTAGTTCAGCTTAAACTACATAACGTTTGCTCTGGGTAAAAACGCTGCTGACAAGAGTGAATGTTCTATCTAATGGAAGCACAGCCGATGGAGCAGCTGACAAAACTTACAACAACTTTGCAAGAGCATCTGAACCAATTCAGAACATTTTATTGTAGACCTTATTTTTGGTTTTTTTACCACCAAGTTTGAATGGGCGCTAAATTTTGCAAAAATGCAACTGAAATAGGTTCGAAATTTCATTTCACGCAGCATTGCTTCCATTTTCTAAACGCTAAATTCAGTTTCAAATTTTTTTCGACTCAAATCAAAACTTTTCATTCTTTTTGCAGAGTATAAAGTGCGGTTCATAATTATACGAACACCCAAAATTTTGTAAGTTCTCGGACTTTTTGGGGGAAACTCATAAAGCCGTTGGTACCACGCGAAAGAGCACAATTGAAAACGGTATACGATCCATAAGAATGGAAATTGACGTCAATCTCAGGAGTGTTTTTGCGCCTAATGCGAATTTTTAGCGGTTCATAATTATACGAACACCTCAAACAAAGGTCCATTTCTTATCCGCGAGTGCAATCATTTGAGTCCAAATTTTTTGTAGAGTTACAGTAACAAAGTCTGACATATCTGCTACGCACTGAACCCAGTGCAGGTCAAAAAGAGGATCGCTACTTCTTTCAGATGGCTCTAAATGCTTTTGGAGTGACTGCGCTCCAAATACATCCGATCTTTTGTGGTTTACGCGCTCTAATTAGCTTCTACCAAAGCTATAAAATAAAATAAGCTCTTTCGATAGGTATTTTGTTTGACGTTTGGAAAATCTTTGCGTTTTCGTGCCGCTTTGCAACCAAGTTCCATCCCAACCTTAGAGTTAACACGATTTCGAGCCTCAAAACTCAGCTTCTGTCTTGCACAAACATATGATATGAAGCAGCTGCATTGCTTGCATGATGATGTCTCTGTGCCAAAGTTTTTGGGTTTTTTGTAGAACTGATCTTGAGGCTATGGAGCTACAAACCAAATAGGGGTGTGATTGCAATAGTAAAAACAGTGTTTTTGGTGAAATGACGTCTGCGTGGCCAAAACAAACTCTCAACGCCGCTGATTTTTTCTAGCCAAATATACAGTCTTGTAAACTTTTACATACTATATGCTTTCTTCATTGAACGGCTTCAGAAGCTTAGTTTTGAGGCTCGAAATCGTGCTAACTCTAGAGTTGGGATGGAGCTTGGTTGAAAAACGGCACGAAAACGCAAAGATTTTCCAAGCGTCAAACGAAATACCTATCGCAAAAGCTTATCTTATCTCATAGCTTTGGTAGAAGCTAATTAGAGTGCGTAAACCACAGAAGAACGGATGTTTTTGGAGCGCAATCACTCTAGAAGCATTCAGAGCCTTTTGAAAAAAGTCACGGTCCTTTTTTAGAACTGCGCTGGGTTCAGTGCGTAGCAGATATGTCAGACTTTGTTACTGTAACTCTATAAAAAATTTGGACTCAAATGATTGCAATCTTGAATAAAAAATGGACCTTTGTTTGAGGTGTTCGTATAATTATGAACCGCTAAAAATTCGCATTAGGCGCAAAAACACTCCTGAGATTGACGTCAATTTCCATTCTTATGGATCGTATACCGTTTTCGGTTGTGCTCTTTCGCGTGGTACCAACAGCTTTTTGAGTTTCTCCCAAAAAGTCCGAGAACTTACAAAATTTTGGGTGTTCGTATAATTATGAACCGCACTTTATAGTATCAGCAGTGGCGTACCCAAGGGGAGGGGCGGGGGGGGGGGGGGGGGTGGGAGGCTCCCCCCCCCCGAGAATGGGTCGCGAATTTGAAAGTTACTCAAATGTATTATAAAAGTGTGGAGAGGACTTGTTTTTACTTGTAAATAATTAAAATAATTTTTGAAAATTTTCAAAAATTCAAATTAGCTTTGTAAAAGAATTTTTTTCGGAAGCGTGGCTGCCGCCACGCCCCCTTTTTCTGAAACTTTGGGGTCAGAGGCCCGGAAAAATTTTGGGAATTATCCCAAAAAATTTTTCGGAATGCGTGGCTGACGCCACGCAGCTTCATTAGAAAAAAATTTTTGTCGCGCCCCCTCCGAGCCGAAATCTTGGGTACGCCACTGATTGTGAGTATCAGTCATACCCTCGTTACATAGAGCCACGTACTCTGATAACCGTCACTTTGAGGGCTATGAGGGGACACAACCTTCACCTGGAAAAAAAACAGAAGTCATCCGGGACTTTGCCCTGGATGTTATAATCCTGATTATATCGCAACAAATGTGTTTAAAGCAAGTACAGGAAAGAATATCTTTAGATTATCTTAGCAAAACCGAAAATTTGTGTTTTCATAGCCTTTTTTACCTCAAAAGGAAGGTTTCTGTGTTTTTTTTCGCCAGTATTCAGATCAAAATTTGCACTAACCTCTCATTTGAACAAAATCGAGTTTCAGAAGTTCAGGAAAGCTATTGGAGTTAATTAAGAATTTGCGTTTTTATGGGCTTCTCTACACTGAAAAGAAAGTTTCTGTGAAATTTTCGAAAGAATTCAGGACAACGTTTCTCAGTTAACCTCCATCGACCAAAATCGAGTTTTAGCAGTTTAGGAAAGCTGTTGTAGTTGAATAAAAACGAGAAACTGCGCTTAAATCTTGCGCAGAGAGTCGCGCACGAAAACGCTGGTCTATCTCGTTAATGAGTGATTTTTAAAGCTTGGGATGTTATCAGTTCTCCTCATCATGTCATGGCGATCAGAACGATGTATAATGTTGCGGGTTTCGTTGAGACCCTGCGGAGATCTACGACCAGAGCCAAATGCCCCGTCGGCTCTGGTCTGTCTCTGCTGCTCGTCTGCGTTTCCGCGCGCTGCGCGCTACCTCGCTACCCCAAACGCGGGGCGCGAGGTATTTGGCTCTGGTACCCTTTTCTTCGCTGTTTCGAACCCAATTTTGGCAAGCTATATATCATTTTGAAGCTCCTGATCTCTGTTTTTACGCTGACAACGTCCCAAAACCATATGTTGATCAAGAAATCCGGCAAAAACCTTGTTTTCGAAAATCTCTTGTTTTTCTCCTAGTTTAATTACTTCCACGCGGTTTTTTCGTGCATTCTAAAGATCTTGCTTCTGTTCATAATGCAGACAACCACCCAACCTTTATCTTTTCGATTATTGTGAGATTTTTTGCGATAAATCGTAAAATGTGCGTTTTTCTTTAACTTCTTCTGTTTCAGGGCTTTCGCATCGATTTTTCTTCAGCTTGGGCGACTGTTGCTCAGAACAATAAGCGCAACAATCCAGACGACGTCCCAGGAAACAAGAACGTCAATGCGGGGGTAAAAATTCAAAGGACGCATCAAAAATCAAACCCCGTGTTGCG